CAGATCTAGCGACCCGAGGTCAATCTGCTATGGAACTAGCCAAAAGCACAGTTTGGTTGGAAGGACCATCGTTCTTGAAAGATGTCGAGATCTCGGGGCCATCAGCGCCTTCCGTTAGAGAGGAGACGAAGGTTGAAGATATTGAAAAGACAGTGGCACAGACGTACATGGTCCAGGCGCGCGTTAACCTGGGTGTTGATCCAAACCATTTTTCTACCTTCCGTCGCCTTTGTCGTGTGACTGGATGGGTTCAACGATTCGTTACAAACTGCAGACTTCCAAGGGAATTACGAAAACGAGACAGAACGCTTTGTTCAACTGAAATACTTAATGTGGAAAAGTGGTGGATCAAACAAGCGCAAGGAGAAGCTTTCCCGAAAGGAGAGCGAGAAGGATGTTTACTGCGACTTAGTCCAAAGAACGGTGACGATGGTCTTCTGAGGATGGACGGACGTTTAAGACTTGCGGATGAACTATCCTACAACACAAAACACCCCATTATATTGCCAAAAGAACACGTGGTGACCCGACTCATCATCAAGGATGCACATGAAGAACTCGGACATGGTTCCGGAGTTGAGCAGGTTCTAACACTGCTACGCAGTCGTTTCTGGATCGTAAAAGGAAGACGCGCGGTAAGGAATATCGTTGAGTCATGTGCGCAATGTCGACGACGTTTTTCTGTAAAAACAGCCGAGCAGAAGATGGCACCGCTGCCCAGACCGCGACTTCAATCGTTACGAGCTTTCGAAAGAGTCGGAGTGGATTATGGAGGCCCATTTCTAACGAAGCAAGGACGAGGCAAAGCCAAAGCAAAGAGATACCTATGCCTATTTACTTGTCTAGCGACAAGGGCTGTTCACCTTGAGATGTCATACTCATTAGACACGGCTTCCTTCATCAATGCCTTTACGCGAATGGTATCGAGGAGGGGGACGCCCGTATATGTTATATCGGACAATGGGACCAATTTCGTGGGCGCAGAGCGGGAGATGAGAGAATTAGTTCAAGCTTTTAACCAGGACAAAATTGCCCAAGAAACCACCAAGTATCAACCCATTGAATGGAAATTCAATCCTCCATCGGCCCCTCATTTTGGAGGGATTTTCGAGGCTATGATAAAGAGCGCCAAGAAGGCAATAAAAATCGTCCTAGGAGATGCAGATGTGACGGATGAAGAACTTCAGACCGCAATGTGTGGAGCTGAAAGACTGGTAAACTCACGGCCCATCACTTATGTGAGTTCAGATCCAAACGACCCGTCCCCACTTACTCCAAATCATTTTATAGTCGGACAGATCGGTGGGGTATTTGCTCCTGAAGCTCTTGATCAAGTTGAAGCGAACAACCCTAGGAATCGCTGGCATCGAGTACAACAATTGTTACAGCTGTTCTGGAAGCGCTGGAGAAAGGAGTTCCTTCCACGTCTTAATGTAAGCAAGAAATGGTTTCATCCCAAACATAACCTGAAACAAGGCGATGTGGTATTGATTGCTGAACCCAAAGCAAGTAGGGGAGAATGGCCTCTTGCCCGTGTGATCGAAGCGTATCAAGGAAGTGACGGCCTAGTCCGAGTTGTAAAGGTGAAATCCAGGAACAAAGAATATTTCCGTCCTATACATCGATTGTGTCCTCTCGAGTATGTTGACGAACATTCGGACAATGAAGATAGATAACTGAAACGTTATATAGAAGTGAACATAAAGGACGTTAATTAAGTCGTATTTGTTAGTATTCATTGACATTGCTAATCCCTCTATTTATTGTCTTTAAGTGGAATCGAATGCGTTGCATTCGGGAGGGGGATGTTAACGAACGATATTATTATATGAAGTACTTGTTATCATGACCGCTGAAATAGTCGCGCGGGCGACAAAACGTTTTTTGAACGTTCTAGTTTATATTTTTCGACTACAAAAAGTGTGACGATATTTAGGCTATTTTTGTGTTTAAAGACTCGGAATAAAGTGGCGAATTATCTCGTGTAGACATTTTATAGACAGTTCAATTAATCGGGAACACACTTTTTTACCTCGCTTGTCATTTTGACAATTTGACCGGCCACATTTTCATGCCTTCCAATGTGATTGCTGACATCTTGAATTAAAACATGAAACTATGACGTATCGAAACAAGTTTCTAACAGTTTGTTTTACTGTTAGTGTAAGCGTATCAATGACCGGTCAAAAACAGATTTTGACCGAGCTAAAATCAAGTTGACCGGAGACCTATATCTCCCGTTATTTCGAGCCCTCTTACACGCACTATTATATTCCACGTAAAATCCACGTTGATAATCTTCTTTGCTTGACAAAATTTAAAGCAGTTTAATTAATATACTTTAACATAATATAACAAGACAAACTCGTAAAGGCAGAGACACGCCGGACGCGATTCGACAACGCGGCGAGATTTTTCAGTTAATAAAACAGCCAATGAAAGGAAATTCTAAAAGATATGTAGACCAAATAAACTCAAAATGTTATAGCGCTTCTACATATTTGGAAAACTTCAACCAGGATCAAAGTTATCGGTCAGTGACTAAATCGAAAAATCGCGCCGCGTTGCCATGAATCGCTCCGTTGGGCCATGAAACTAACGTTCTCCAAAGTTGGAAACAGTTTGAAAGTCAATTAACAACAAAATGTTACTCACACGTTAAATTGATTGACCAAAAATTAGCTTAATAATATTCTCCTTTCAATTGAAATGGGGTCTGGTTAGGAAGGCATTCGAGAGTCGTTTAAGATCTACGACGCGGCCGGCTCGACGACGCGGCCGGCTCGACGACGCGCTTTCGAAACAAAGAAATTTGTTATGCAAGACAAAAACTGTGAATAATTTGTGGTTCCAGACCCAGGGTATTCACAACGGTTTTGTCATTCTCAACACACAACGTTAAACTAAATATCACGTCTTTCAAGCAACGTGAAAGCTTATTGCTACCAGAGCCGCCGAGAGAATTCCGGCGGGGCCCAGGGCAAATCTTCTCTGGGGGCCCCATGACATCATTTTTAAGCCAGACCCAAGTCAGTCACCCAAATAGACCTTAGCTAGACTGCATATGGAGCTACTGTAAGGGGCCCTCAATTCCGAAAATGCTCTGACCAATTCAAAGAACCTACTCAATTTTAGGCTCTCGCTCTCAAGTTGGGTCCCTATTAAGGTGGGGACCCGAGGCAATTTGCCCCCCTCTCGGCGGCCCTGATTGCTACCCAAGATGTGTTACTTAAAGTCGAAATTACAGCAAACATAAAACATTGTATCGCTTCAGTCGAACGTAGCCGTTTTTAAGGTTATTCGAAAAAGCTTCAAATATTTACCGCAGTAATCAAATTGCTTAGCGCCCATTCTTGAGCCGAACTTCAGACGGCGTCATTGAGCCGGCCGCGTGGTAGATCTTATGAACTTTCTGTTTCTTGAAACAGAGATTCAATAGAAGATTTATCGTTCACGGCTAACTGTTATAAATCCCATTAGCGTTGTTGATTGAAGTGCTAATAGAAATTTGAATCGGTCACCTCTATCAAACACGTTTTACAATCCAGTTTCAAGCAGGGAGACAATCTTTGCAGGTGCCAGGTGGACATCAAAATCGGCAGGTTCACCCAGCCAAGATGCGTCGACGGTTAGAGCATCATCTGGCATGTCAAGATCCAGGGAGAACTCTTCGCAACAACCTGGCATTATGAATCCTTCAAAGGCCGCAGTGTTGGCATTGACATGACTGATAAGCAGCTATCATCACCAGGACAAATAAGCAGCTATCATCACCAGGACAAATAAGCAGCTATCATCACTAGGACATTGTGAGTGGTTGATCTCCACATTCCAGTAATGGATACCATACCGAAATATACGATGACCGACAAAACTACCCCTGGGGGAAACTAGATCTGGGGGTGTTCGATCCGCTGCTGCTTTCGGAAGAGGTGCTGGTGCTGGTTCCGCTGCTGGTTGGGGAAGAGCTCGGGGTACGTGATCGGTGCGTCTCTGGGGTGGGCTGGGGCTGGGGGTGCGGTATCGGTTGCGTCTTTGGGGTGAGCTGGGGAATCTGTTATGGTCTTGGGAAGAAAGACTTTTGTGACCGAGGTCATGGTTTACTCCGGCTCGTGGAAAAGAAAAAATTCTGATAACCCGTTGTCCGAAGTGAAGAGAAGTTTCACACCTTCCCCTGTCTACACCACAAGACGCCGAAGTAGCGGCTGCATTATTATTATATAAACTACTGTTTCATCGGAAAAAAACTTTATGAATGATTTCAAGTAATACATAAATGATAACATAAGCTGGATTAAAACTATATATATATAATTGATTAAAGAGTGATTTTATATGAGAAAACTGTAGATTGATAGGGATTTCACTATCTGAAAAAATACAAGTAAAAATTTTACATTTCGAGCGAAGGCCCCCAGCCCCCATGTTACCCCAGTTACTTATTTTCGCTCTAGCTTCCCTAGTCAAAATCACTTTTTAAAAAGATTAATTTAGTTCGAAGAGGAAGAACAATTTAGTTCGAGAGAATGTATTAACAGTTATTCTCACTCAGTTTCGTGTATTTTCCAGTTTAAGGAAAACTGGAAAACAAAATTTGATATTACTTTGACGAACGTCACTATAATCTATTTGCGTTAATGGACATTAGTTTCTTCAGGTCACATATTGACGCACATGTTGTCTTGGCTTTACTTCATTCAGAAACTACATTTTGTCGTGTAGTTTATTTACATCGCTATAATGTTTAAAACATTGTGCTTGATTTGGTCAAAACAATGAACAGTAGTTTGAGAGCACAGTCAAAATCCTTTGAGATAAAATGTTTTTGTTTAATAATAGTTTCAGTTTGAGTTGAATACACCCGATAAATTCCTGAATATTCAATTGCATTGAAATTACGAAATTGCACAAATCTTGTGACTAAAGTTCATGAGGATATGTATGGGGATACGGTTGAGAATTGTTGTTGTTTTAAATATTTTGAATAAAGTCACTCCGGATGCAGTCCAACATTTTCCACCATTAATCAACATTAGTCATTACTAAACATGATATTGAAACACACCATATTGTCATCTGGAAAATCGGCAGTCTCATTCAAAGCGTCTATAATGCACAAATATTTTGAAATTTTGCGTATAAAGGCTTCTGTCCAGTTAAACGTTTTTGACACGTGAATCTTTTAAATATTTGTACATTTTTTATAAAGCGCTGATTAGCTTAACAAATACGCTTTAAATTATACACAAAATTAAATGCTTTGCTTTTATTCCGTAAGGTTGTACTATCTCGTAAGAAACTTTGAAGTGGATTTAAACTTTTCCGTGCTTGTGTACGCACGCATGAAAAACGATTAACTGGAAAGCTGACTTTACTATTATTGCAACAGTACTTCTGAGTGATTCAACAAGATGGCATTATTGAATTGTTGCTTCATTGTACGAAAAATTGATTGCATTCGCTATATCTTCACCCTGGAGATTTTTGCATAAACATGAATAAAAATATAGAACTAACACTTTAACCGACACAGGCTACTGCCAGAACTTAAAATACTTTACTAATAAGCGAAGCAATATGTAATATATCTTTATAGTAAAAAATCTCATCTTGATCAACTTTCACTGTCAAAGTTGTTGGATATAGTGTCATTAGATATATTTCAGAAGGGGAAAATAAAGGCAAAGCAATTTGTAATTCCTATATCATATCCGGCAACTTTGCCAGTGAAAAAGTCGTTCAAAATTAGGTTTTTTACTATAAAGATATATTCCATTTTTTCTCAGAATGACCAAATATTACACAATCATATTCGGGACCAGTGCCACTTTAACAACGGAAACTTAACATTTGTGATTGTTGCAATAGTTAGTTTCGTATTCAACTTCGCATGCACATGAAGCGTATTCATACGATTGATAAAACACGACAACTTTTTTTTAAATAATTTATTTCAACGAGTTTGTGATGTTTTGACCGTCGCCTTGTCGTGCTACATCATAAAGTCTCCTTGCAGTTCATTGTGTCAACTTTGCATCAAAATGAAGCATTCGTAAACGTCGAGGTAAAATTACAGTTGAATGATAACATGTAGCAGAGTCAGCCGAGACTGCAAGATTTAAAATATGCAGATCAAAGTATTCAACTGTTCAATCATCGTTGGAATAAGCAACACGTTTCTGGAGGCGCAATTAATTTCAGCATGTTAATATGTGTTCAAGCCCGTTTTCCACTGAGCGAATTCAGTTTTCGTGCGAAGCGAAAAAATTCGCCAATGTTATTGGTCGGCAACAAAATTTACCGCGAAAAAGTTGGATCAGTTTCTACTTTTTTACTTGTCGCTTCATGCGAAGTATTTCGCCCTAGTGGAAAATGGACTTAACCCATTAAAAGACGTTCCCATAATCCCCTTGGCGAGTAAAACTGCGCCCCAATGTTTCTACTTTGTTCTATATTCTGTCTAACACCAGACATGTTTAATTTTCAAGGGAAAAATATTGTTGAATTATTGGGCATTAATAGGCCCGACAATGTGCTTATGTCTTTAACCCATAAATTCGCAAGACTCTCCCCTTGGCAAGTAAAGTCATCTAGCGTTACAGTAAAATAATAAAACAGGGTGTATTTGGGCGCATTGCAGCTCAGTGGTTAATATTAACCCATTAAGCCGCAATGTGCTCTAATACACCCTACTTTATTCAACCATAAATTCAAGGATTTCAACAAATTAATTTTTCTTTAAACTTAGTCAAATTGGTATCCCAAGTACAAAAGTGTAAAATACTGCAACAACTTAATTAGGTTGCTAATATATACAATGCATAATTAACATACAACTGCAGTAGCTAACCATCACGCTTCCCGCATTTCAGGAAGTTCTTGCCAGCTATAATGATCAAATCGAAAACATTCTACAGAGTTTAAGTACTTTCATCTACGCCCCCCATGACAATCACAGTGTCTCTGACAACTGCAGCCACACATCCTTTCGGCATAGTACAAAACATGGACTGGACTGAACAGTTGGACCAGACAGTTGGACTGGACTGATTTTTACATTTTCTCATTTTCTCTATTCTTGACTTGCATGTCACCCACTATGTCAGGTGGCATGGCACAAAAGAATATTTTATCACAGAATAGATATACCATGTCATGCCTATTGATTTTTTCGATGAACATTGTCTGGTGTGTACCAGGAGGAGATTGGTTGCAAGTCAAGAATATAACGTTTTACACCTGAATTACTTTTGATTTTCGGAAATTGAAATACTTTACCTTCGCCGATGACCTCACTTTATAACTGGAGTGAAATCTCAGTAAGAAACCCCAGTAAGTAGAATAGAATACAATACCAAACATAAACTGTCTTTGCTATGGGTGCCATGGGCGTAGGTAGATCGGTATTTTTGGGAGGCTCATATTCATATATTCATAAAGCAATCAATTTCAAAGGAAGTAAATGATGCAGAACACGAATATATAAATATGAGCCCCCCCCCAAAAAAAATATCGATCTTCCTACGCCCATGGCCATGCAGACTGAAATATCGAAATTTAATACGTATGCGAGCAGGCAACCCATAGCAAAGACAGATAAGTATTTTATGTTTGGTATTGTATTCTATTCTACTTACTGGGGTTTCTTACTGAGATTTCACTCCAGTTATAAAGTGAAGTCATCGGCAAAGGTAAAGTATTTCAATTTCCGAAAATCAAAAGTAATTCAGGTACAAAACGTTACATTCTTGACTTCAAACCAATCTCCTCCTGGTACAGACAATGTTCATTGATAAAAACACAAAATAGACATGACATGGTATATCTATTATATGATAAAATATTCTTTTGTGCCATGCCACCTGACATAGCGGGTGACGTGCAAGTCAAGAATAGAGAAAATGTAAAAATCAGTCCAGTCCAACTGTCCAGTCCAATTGTCCAGTCCAGTCCATGTTT